GTGGGATTGAACCGCCAGCCGTCTGGTTAGCAGGCAAGTGTCTTAGCCACTATGCTACCAGAACTCCCTTTAATTACAACAAAAAAATATAAAGGAAAAAAAAAAAGAATAGGAAGCAGATGACACACCAGGGTCATGGGTGATATAATCACCAGGTGATATAATCCTACCACTCCCCAGTCACTGTATGTAGTTGTTTCTTTCTTTCCCCTTCACTCTCTCTCCTCAATCCCCATTTTCCACCTCTTCCTTTTCCACTATTCCTCCTCCCATTTTCTTCTTTTTACACTAGATTAGAGTGAACAATATAAACTGCATTCATCTGATCCTGTGTTCCAAAACTCACTTCTTATTGTGTGACTTTCAGATCATGTAACCTCGCTAAGCCTAAATTTCCTCAACTATAAAAGAGAAACAAAATCCTCTACCTCTTCAGGTTGTTGAAGGGATTAAATCATATAACATGTAGACACTTCTACATATGTAGACAGAACACCAGTAGCCTAAATAAGGAGCTCTGGTGGCACAGTGCTTAAGGCATTTGACTGCTAACCAGAAGGTCGGTGATTCAAACCCACGAGCTGCTCACGGAAGGAAGATGGGGCAATCTACTTCCCTGAAGACTTACCACCTTGGAAACCTCATGGGGGTCACCATGGGTCAGAATCAACTCAATGACAGTGAGTTTTGTTGTTTTCCCCTTAACTTTTTGGAAAAGCTCTGGTGGTACAGTGGTTAAGGCATTTGGCTGCTAACCAAAAGGGTAGTGGTTCAAACCCACCAGCCATTCCACAGAAGAAAGATGAGGCAATCTGCTTTCATAAAGATTCACAACCTTGGAAATCTAATGGGTGTCACTATGAGTCGGAATCGACTCAAGGGCAGTGACTTTGGTTTTGGTTTTTTTATACAGCTTAGAGTTGAAGTCTTGAATTTGAATCCCTATCCTACCACTTACTGGCTAAGTGACTGGGGGCAAGTCTTGTAACCTTTCTGTGCCTTGGTTTCATTATGCACATAATGTGGTGAGTAATACAGATCTAATAGACATTTGGAGGCATCGGTGTTTCAGTAGCAGGATTCTCACCTTCCATGCAGAAGACCTAGGTTTGATTTCTGGCCAGTGTACCTCATGTATAGTCATCACCTGACTATCAATGGAGGCTTATGTGTTGCTATGATGTTGAGTAGGTTTCAGTGGAGCTTCCAGACCACTACAGAATAGGAAGAAAGGCCTGGCGATCTACTTCTGAAAATGAGCCATGAAAATCTGATGGATCACAATGGTCCAATCCACAACTAATCATGGGGAGAGTGCAGGACCACACAACATTTTATTTCATCATGTATGGTGTTGCCATGAGTCAGGGGATGACTCAATGCAGTTAACAATACTACATTTTGGGCAATGAGCAAATGAGATGATCATTATTTATAATTGTATCAGGTTATCAATAGCTGATAACAAAGCTACTATTGTTATTATCACCGCTGTTGCAGATATTTTAATGAACCTATCAGAAGAACTTGTAGTAGCTGACTTGTCCTCTAGTGGACCATGGCTATTAACACCTGGTCTATTATTCAGGTATGTCATCACTAAGGACTGAGACATACCAGAAAAATTATGGAATTTTAATCTTGAACCAATCTTTGAAGGCTACAAAATAAATATAAAAAGAGGTGGGTAGCATGCGATGCAATAAAAAGACCACAATGAGGAAAACAGGATCCAATACCACTTAGGTATTCACCACCTGTGTAACTCCATAGTTACCAGGCTTTATCTGTAACATGCAGAGGTTAGCCTAGATCAGCTAGCAACGTCTAGAGACATTTTTGCTGGACATGAAAGGGAGGCTGCTACTGGCATCTGGTTGCGTAGTGCCTAAGGCACTTGACTGCTAACTAGAAGGCTCACAGTTCAAATCCACCAGCCACTCCTCGGAAGGAAGGTTGGACAATCTAATTCCATACTGATACCACCTCAGAAACCCAAGGAGAGGTCGCTATGAGTCGGGTCCGACTCAATGGCACATAACAACAACAAATGGCATCTAGTGGGTAGAGGCCAAGGACACTGCTAAACATCCTACAGTGCACAGGAAAGCCACTCACAACAAAAAAACTATCCAGCCCAAAATGTCAGTAATGCTGAGATCCAGAAATCCTACCTAGATGACTGCTAAGGTCCCTTTAAGCTCTAGCATTCTAAGAGATTATGATGAAGTAGCACCAAAATCAAACAGATGATGTTCTTGTCAACACCTATCTACAAATGGCTTTATATGATGCAGCTCAAAACCCCCAAGGCAATAAGGAAAAAATTTCACTAAGATTATTTGAATATTCTGAAGCCATTGCTGAGGGTGACAGCAGTTTGTCCTCCACACCAGGATGAGTGTCAGGAATGAAAGAGGCACTGTCCTCTGGAGACTGGATCCTTCACCCTTTGCAGTTAGAATCAGTACCTCCAAAGCCATGAAATTCCTTTCAGGATAGATGATTTAAACAAGTCTGAATCAAGGTCAAAAGAAGGTATATATCACACAACAGTTTAGATAAATCTCAAATGCATTATGCTAAGTGAAAGAAGATTCCATTTAAATGACATTCTGGAACAGGTAAAAATTATAGGGCAGTAGGGGGGAGTATGATCACAAAAGGGCATGAAGGAATGTTTGGGGGTGATAGACTTTTATGTATTATAGTGTTAGTTAAGTGACTATATGTGTATGTCAAAATTCATAAAACTATACACTAAACGGGTAAATTTTACTGTACATAAATTATACATCAGTAAAACTAATTCCCTAAAATATGTAGTCACAAATGCTATAGAAAGGATTTCTACACTTTGGGAGAGGATGAACTAGATGACATCTGAATTCTTTCCCACTGCAAGTCCTATGAATTTATGGCATGCTATCTCTTCTACCTCTGGTGGTCTCAGAGTCACAGTGATCAGGATTAAGCCCGAGCTCCAATTTCTGTGATAAAACAAAGAGGCTCTCTGATCAGATCATGTGGCTATGGGTCCTGCCACAATCAGGGACCTCCACCTCTCCCGTAGTCTGTGACAGAGGTTCCCTTCCTTCTCATTCAAGTCCTGCTTAACCTTAGGACTAACGAGGACCTCAGACAATTAATAACTAAGCTGGAATAAACCTCGGGAGACACTGGTTTTATCTCTCTGCACAGGCTTCCTGTCTGGATCCCATCTGATCTTTCCACTAACTTTAAACCAGGCAACAGAAAAAAGAGGAATCATACTTATGAACTCTGCTCCATGACTTTCTGAGCTTCCACTAGATTATTTTTATACATTTAAACTATGTAAAAGTAAAACACGAGCCTTACACCAAACTCATACCTAATGTTCATTTTAACATACACACCTCATAGATTATTGATCGATGAAAAATTACACAAACACTTAATTCTACTTATGTATAGAACACATCTGATTAGGCTATGGCCAAGGAGGACTAAAACAGCCATCAAAATGTTCTTATTTCCTAATAAAAAGAATATCATCTTCTATCATCAAATATATTCACAACTGTGGACTGCTATAGGAGTCCCATCTGCTCTGAGTCAGTTCCTTTCCTGGTTCTTCTTGGAGGATCTCAGTGGAACAGTTACAAATATCAGTAACCAGATATTTCACACTTGAATACTGAGATAAAAACCAAGGGTCCCAAGACAAGCCTAGACCTGTCAGCCCCCTCATATTCAAAGGACAAAGAGGACTTTGTAGAGGCCAGGTAAAGTCCACACTGCCCTATTCTACTGTATTCACAGCAAGCACATTATGACCATGAAAGCTGTGTACACATATTATGGGAGAAGGGGCCACAGAGACACAGGTCCCACAGGGACCTAGGGTCTTGTTTCCACAAGTTCCCCTCAGAAGGGAAGAATGGCGGAATTACATTTCAATGGTTTAAAACTATCCAATCATCTTCGGAAATCTGTATCAACAGAAAATCAGTATTGTCTCCTTCTAAGTCGTTCAGACTTGATAACATTGGTTATTTGTCATAATTAGAAAAAGTTTCACAAAAGACTAAAATACTTAGCAAAAACACAATTTGACTTTTTATTCAAAGGTATATAAATTGATGGGCAATGACTGTCCAGGGTTCCCCCCAAAATATTGTTACTTCCAATTGCACTTACAAAGGACACACCCTATAGAACTATTTTCTATACAAGTATGATGACACTGACCCACCAATGGACAAGTAAATGACTTTTCTAATTTTAGGGACAGATATCTACAGAGAGTACCCTGGTAGCTGGTAGGGTAAGGGTCACTTTCTTGGCTATAATGGGAACTGAAAACATGACTTTCGACAGTGACCTAGTAAACAATGCCACTTCTTCACAGAAACAGAGAGTTTATAGGACTCACTTGGCCAGACCTGCTGCCTTAGAAATGTGAGAAAGAGAAGAACTATCAGAGCCTAGGTTGCCCATACTTCATACCCAGACCCAGGAAGGTAACCAACAGCTTCAGCAAAGCCTTGGCTAGTCCTCTTGATCCTTAGGGCTCAGATGAATGGACTTCATCTACTACACACCTTTCAGGCTGGAAGACTAGCTGTCTGACCCTTTCGCACTTGGCCTAGATGCATAAGCACACCCTAAGGCTCAAAGAAGATACTTTCCTCTAGGATTCCCAAGCCCTTCTGCTACATACAACACAAAGCCAAGTGTGTATTGACTTAAAGTAAGCCCATCCACCCATCACAGGAGCAGAACAGTACCCAAACTGATACGCACCAAGTCACGCTGAGGCCTAAGCCAAAATGGACACTAGCCACTTCCATACCCTGAGCAAGGAGTCTTCTCCCATCTCCTTTGCTCTTTCTAGAACTGATAACCTCTTACTACCATTTCTCAGACCAAAACATCATCAGCTTCTGACCGAAATACCATTAGTAACTGCTCTGAAAAACTGAGGAGAATGAAGGAAAAATGACAAATGATATTACCACATCCTGAGAAGCATACTGGGGGTCCTCTGGGTTGACTGACCAGTAGCAGTAATCAAAGCCAAATGTCATAATCTTCTCCCGGGAGTCCCCAAAGGCATCTGGTCGACTGTCTGCCTAAAACCAAACACAGGATCCAGTGTCATCTCTATTATACTGTCAGAATCTGGCCATAGGTACTTAATTTCTCTTTGCTGTAGCTAGAGGGATCTCGACTGGTCATGTCCGTGTTTATGATATCTACCTAAAAAAAAAAGAAACCTTTGTCTCCATCTCATTAGGTCAAATATAATCCCAGAGAACTAAACTTGTCTGTTTACTTCTAGGTCTGCCTACATATGAACCAACCTTATGAGACACAGGGCAGCTTGGGAGAGAAAGCCTTTCCCTCTCTGGGCGTGTTTTTTTTTTTTTTATCGCTATCATTTCTTCCCCAAGCCTCTCTGCAGAGGATACTAGGAGTGCATGAATAGTTCAGCCTCTGAGCTTGACAGGCTCCATTAATCTATGGTTTTCACAGAGATCTCTGGGCTATCCATCCCAAGTGAATTAGAAAATGGGTTAGACAGAAGAGCCAGGACCAATCCAATTACCCAAGGCAGATGAGGGCAGAGCCAGAGATTAGAACTGTAATGCCCTTCAGATATTGGAGAAAAATGGCATTAATCACAGAAATGCCTTTTCTCACTTTTTAAAATTTAAACTCTCGGCAGGGAGAGACCATCTCTGGTAATAGTCATCATAATCTATAGAAGAATGAGGCCATTAGAATGACTAAGAGATTCTTTGTGGATGACTGACTTCAGGGAAATAAGCAACCAGGGAGATGTTTAGGGGGCAGATGAGAATTTGATCTTGGCCAGGATTTACTCTTAAGAACCAAAAATATAGCTCCCAGAACAAAGAAACTGGAGTGATTAGGCAACAGAGATATAAACAAGAGGTGGCAAATAAAAGGTTTCTTTGTTCCTGGGAAGCTGCTGTTGAAAGTTTGGCAGGTCTCTTTTAGCAGTGAGCTACTGACAAAAGGAAACAGATCATATCACAGAAGCAACACAAGAGTGGGCATGGTGGGAGGACTGGGGTTCAGGTAACCTTCACTCCTGCCAGTCAGCTTCCTCAGCTCTCAGGAATGTTGAGTACCACCTGCAAGCTGACTATAATCATATAGCCAATTTTGGTCTCTCCCCACTCCCCAAAGACTAGAAAGTATACTACTAGAATCCCTTCCATGTCCTGTGGGAAGGAGGAATGAGATGGAGGAAATGAGCCTTAAAAGGGGCAGGGGGAAGATGGTCTCTATGTTTGTCAAATCATGACTCAAAGTTCAGTTTTATCAGTGAAAAAAATGGTAACAAGACTTAGGCTAGTGACTAACTCCCTTCTGGAATCTGAAGGCCCTGACATGGACCTCATTTCCATATGGCAGATGCTTACTAAAATCCCTAATAATACTCTAAATAAATTGCTCTCTAATGGTCTAAGTGACGGTCAGTTAAATATACACATGGATCGCCCCCATTACACATGAAGCTAGCCATAGCTCCCATGTGTTTGTTTGCTTTCAAAACGGCCACTGATCAGTTTCCAAAACAGCTGCACTCTGTTTGATAGAACTTATGCGGCAGCAGCCACATCCCGTACACTTCTTTCTGTTTTATTTTTCTGTTTGGTTTATGGTTGGTCCAAGCTCTTCCTACAATTCCTCTTATATGCCCTTCCTTCCCCCACCTACTCTTACTCTAAACACATTCACATATACACCTTCATTCCAGAAGCCTTCGCTAAAAAGAAAAAGGAAAACAATTTCAGACTTACCTTTAAATTCCTGATTTTTGCCACTTTGCCATCAACTTCCACAACAATTCTTGCTCCATCTTTGTTCTCCCTAGAAACAAGATCCAAACCCACATAAGAAACATTACTTTTTTTTTTTTCTTTTTTAAATCAAGAAAAGAGAAGCCAAGGGTGGGAGTGACCAGTGCTAGTGGGATAAAATGTCTCCCCTACTGCTGTCCCCATAACTATAATGTCTTGTATCCCAAAACAGCTACGAGCATCACATCAAACAGTCACTTAGGTGGGATGCTCCCCTGGATCATTAGAATTGGCTCTACAATAGCTAAGAGTCACCATTTATTGAGTACTCTAAGTACACCACATATAGTATTTTCTATCATGCAGTCCATCCAACATACTCTCCAGACAGCTTCCTAACAAATCCCTGTTTTCCCAGATGGAAACTAAAACTGAGACAAATTATGGAACATGTCCAAGGTCACAGAGCAAGTAGTAGCCGAACTAAGATTTAAAACCAGGTTTGTCAGACTCCAAAGCCTATGCTCTTACCTACACCTTAGAAATCAGGCTCAGAAACACAAGCAAGTATTCTTGGCCAGGTACAACATCCCTCACTTTCTTTTTTTTTTTAATTTTTATTGTGATTTGGGTGAAAGTTTACAGAGCAAATTCACTTTTCATACAGCTCACATATACTTTGTCTCATTACATTGACTATAATTTCCCACAATGCAACAGCTCCTCTCCTTCCTCCTCCCCCACAGTTACCTCTTCCCTGTGTCCTTCCCTCCCATGCACTCCTGCCCCCTGAGCTGTCTCCCTGTGCATACATAGCCCTTCTATTCTCCCATAATTGATCTCTCCAAGGAGTGTATCTACCTAATGTAAATGTTCAGCTCATATGCTTGTCTTTTGTTTGGCTCGAAGCCATAGGAGTGGGTTCAATTCAAGACCTGAAGGGCAGCTAGGGACCATAGTCTCAGTGGTTCCATCAGGCTCTATCAGACCAGCAAACCTCATCCCCCTGCCTTTTTTTTTTTTTCCAAATGGTTTGAGTTTTGGTCCACATTGTTCTCCCTCTCTATCCAGGATCTCCTACAGAGATCCCCCTCTGAGTGGTTGAGGTTGACAGTGTAGCTGGGCACCATCTAGTTCTTCTGGCCTCATAGTCATATAGGCTGAGGATCGCATGGTGTACCAGTCCCTTGAACTAATTGTTTACATGCGTCTTTGGCTTTCTTCATTCTTCTTTGCTCTGGATGAGGAGAGATCCATGGTTGCATGTAGATGGCTACTTGCAAGCTTTTAAAATCCCAGTCGCTACTCACCAAAGTAGGATGTGGAACAATGTTTTTGTGTAGTATGTTAAGTCAATTGAGCTTGATGTCCCCTGCAACTTTAGTCCTAAGCACACAGGTCCAACTATTTGCTCCCTCTGGGTAGCTGGCTGTGGCCAAGAAGTGACTACAACCTTGTCCCTTGTCAGCTCTACTATATACTTGGGAATTCTTACAGAACATAAAAATACAGTTGTACAAACATTGTCTGTCAACCCTATACATGGTAATGGGCACACTGTCCCCAGCATAGACATACCTAACAGTTCAACCTGTCCACCCATCTATCCACCCATAGATCAATGTTTGCCTTTACTGACAAAGCAGTACTGTATGTGCAAAAGGGTTCATCTTTGTTGTCTGTACCACCCATGCCCCTGTCTTCTCAATGCCACCGTGTTGATCACTCACATTTGGTACATTGCCCTTCTCTTCACTCAAATCAGTACTTGTCTCTACCTCTCTAGCAGTGTTTCCTTCCCTCCCATCCCACGCCTAGTAACCAACAAAGAAAATTTCCTTCCATATATAAAATTTCTTTGACTTTTTACAATAATGGACTAACACAATATTTGTCCTTCTATGACCCACTTTTTTCCCTCACCATAATGCCATAATGTCTTCCAAGTTCATCCATATTATGCAGTGTTTTGCCAATTCTACATTATTCTTTAGGATTGCACAGTATTCCATCGTGTGTATGGACCATAGTTTGATTATCCCTTCTTTTGTTCTGTTGAACATCCCTCGTTTTCTCTTGTATTATGATCACTGGTAGTGATTTAAAAAAGGTGTCAAAGTCCTCTCTACTGAGATCCTGAGAATGTATTTTCCAAATTATTTCCTTTTATCTTCCTAAGCCAGAACAAAAGTCAAGATCCTTAAGAATATTTCTATGTTACAGTCATTCAGTAACACTGCTAATAATTAACCAAACTCTAAATTGACCATAAGGGGTTCTGGTGGCACACTGGTTAAGCACTCGGTTGCTAACCTAAAGACTGGCAGTTCACACCCACCCAGCAGCTCTGTAGGAGAAAGACATGGCAACATGCTTCCATAAAGATTACAACCAATGAACCCTGGGGCAGTTCTACTCTGTCACATGGAGTCGCTATGAGTAGGAATTGACTGTATGGCACCAAACAAAAACATAAAACAGACATCTTAAGGAGCATAATCCAGGTGACCAAGATATCTGAAGCTCAAATTGAATGGTATATAGCCTATTCTTTTTTTTTTTTTTAATGTTTATTGTGATTTGGGTGAAAGTTTACAGAGCTAATCCATTTTCCATATGGCAGTTCATACACACTGTTTCATGACATTGACTGCAATTCCCTACAATGTGATAGCTCTCTTTCCACTTCCTCCCTGTAGTTACCTCTTTCCTGCGTCCTTTTTTCCTATGTATTCCTGCCCTCCCCCCCCCCCACTATCTCCCTATGCAAATGCTGCCCTTCTGTTTTCCCACTATAGCCTATTCTTGACACAAAACTTTTATAACATAAAGAGCTTCATCTAAAATATTCAAGACCAAAATGTTAACAAATGAGAAATCCATTTGCACTTCCTTCACTCCATGAAATTTATCCATTAAATTATTCCCATCCTGGAAGCTGAGAAAATATCTTTAATCTCATTTTTACTTCCTCATACTTCCCAGGATGTCACCTTGAGGATGTCCCAGGATGTCCTAGAGGGAGCGATTCAGGGACTTTTAGATTCGAGATTATTTTTTAACTTGTCAGTGTGTCTGGGATAAAGTCCTAGATCAAAAATTTCCGTTTCCTAGATAATGACATTTCTGTTACTTAAAGTCCCTCAATGTCCCAATGCCCTTTGCTGTGCATTTCATGCTAGACAATACTTAAGGCAGCACAGGATCAATCCCCCAGGATCATAATGATTCCACCAGAGGCTATAACTAAGCCCCCTTCCTCCTAAAGAAAACATTTCATTTTTGGTGTTACCAATTTATAAGAGAATATTTTTCTTCCTTCTGTTTTAAAATTGGTTTTACTATCCCTCCACCCACTATGAAAGCGATACGATGATTACAGTAAATTTGGAAAATGTAGAAAACTTTTTAAAAAATGCAAAACTTTTTCAAATCTATTATCTAATTTTTTAAAAAAGCATGTCTTTGATGAGGATTCATCTGGGACCTTTTTGCAGAAAAATGTGACACTAGAAGAAGGTGACATGCTGTTCTCTGTCTGGACCACTGTCATTAGTAACTTACTACCACCCAGTGCCATTAAGTGGATTCCAACTCATAATGACCCTATAGGACAAAACAGAACTATCCCCTAGGATTTCCAAGACTGTAATCTTTACAGAAGCAGACTGCTATATCTTTCTACCACAGAACAGCTAGTGGGTTCAAACTATCAACCTTCCAGTTAGCAGCCAAGCACTTGACCAATGCACCACTAAGAGTCCTTCACTGGTAATTTAGAGGTTCCAAAATATTCTAGAACAAAATGTGGGCTGATTAAAGTTGAGCAAAACAGAAAGAAAGAACATCAAGCTTAGAGTACCTCACAAGTACTCCACATTTTCTGAGGCCAGCGTTCAGAACTCAATTAAGTCTACTGAGGAAGAACCTTCCACAAGACAGAGCAACCACTACCACTGGCCTCTGGGTAGAGAATTCAACCAGCAGACTTTCATTCCATAGGGTTAAAGATACAACGCAGTTAGTGGGAATGCAAAATGGTATAGCTGCTATGGAAAAGAGTTTGGTAGTTCCTCAAAAACCTAAACATAGAACTACTATATAGATCAGCAATTCCACTCCTGAGTATAACCCAAGAGACTTGAAAGTAGCAACGCAAACAGACGTGTACACCAATGGTCACTGCAACACTGTTCACAATTGCCAAAAAACGGTAACAACCTAAATATTCATCAACAGATGAACAGATAAACAAAATGTGGGATATACACATAATGAAGTATCACTCAGCCACAAAGAAGAACAAAAGCCCAATACATGCTGCAGCATGGATGACTCTTGAAAACATGCTAAATAAGTCAATCACAAAAGGATAAATACTATATGATCTTACTCATATCACATATGTAGAACAGGCAGATATATCATACCTTGGTTCGCTAGTGCTGCTATAACAGAAATGAAAGTGGCTGATTTTAACAAATAGGAATTTATTCTCTTATGGTTTAGAAGGCTGAAAGTCCAAATTTAGAGTGCCAGCTCTAGGGACTGGGTGAAGGCCCCTTGACCATGAGCTTCAGTTTTGCCTCTTATGCCATTCCCACTGAAGCTGGAGGCATCTCCTATTTCAGGCAGCTGCAGGCTGCTGAGGCTGACAAACACAAGGTCAGAAGGTAAAATGGCACAATCCCAAGATCAGCAGGCAACATGACAGGTCCCTGGATGAAGACTCAACCGAATGCAGGATCCAAACATGCCAAAAAGCTAGAGAACTTTCCCAAAGCTTCTCTTTATGTACTGGAAGCAGGCCACAGGCCAAAGGCAGCTCCCTTTCCATGTCACACAGCATATTCTACCATGGAGGTGATTATAATCTCATTATGGGGAATAACTATAACCAGCTGCCAAACCACTCAGAACTACAGCCCAGCCAAGTTCACAAACAACCTTAACTACCACATATTGAGATCGAAGTTTATTAGTGGTTACCAAGGGCAGGAGGGAGGAGAGAAGGGGGAGTCATTGTTTAGGAAGCACTGACTTTCTGTTTATGGTGATGGAAAATTTGGCAACAGATATTGGTGATGTTTACATAATATTATTAATGTAACTGATGTCACTAAACTGTACACATGAAAATGTTAAATTGGCAAATGTAGTGTTATATATATTTTTACAACAGTGAAATAAAATACAGCTCACAGTTACAAGGTGTCAAAAAAAAGTATAGAGCAGAAAACAATCCAGTTATATGGTTATCCCTAAGGCAATTTCTCAAAAGTGTGGTCCACAGGCCACCTACATCAGAATTATGGGAGGAGGGTGTGGAGAGCTACTTAATTTTAATTCCCATTTTGGGGGCAAGGGAATTATAACAAGCTGCATTATAACAAGTTTTCCAGGTGAATATTATACAGCCTACAAATCTGTCCTGGAAGAAGTGCAGCTTAAGTGCTCCTTAGAAGCAAGAATGTCCAGACTTCGTCTCACCTACTTTGGTCATATTGTCAGAAGGGACCATTCCCTGGAGAAGGATATCATGCTTGATAAAGTGGAGGGTCAACGAAAAAGGGGAAGACCCTCAATAAGATGGACTGACACAGTGGCTACAACGATGGGCTCAGGTACAGCAAGGATTGTGAGGATGGTGCACCACTGGGCAGTGTTTCATCCTATTGTACATAGGGTAGCTATGAGTCAGAGCCAACTCAACAGCACCTAACAACAACAACACTTTGAGAGAAGTTTCTGGGTGATACAAACAGTTTATGTGGTAAACTGAAAGATAGGAGGTTTGAGTACACCTAGAGGCATCTTATAAGGAACTCTGGTGGCATAGTGCCTAAGGCATTTGTCTGCTAACCAGAAGGTTGGTGGTTCAAACCCACCACCCACTGCAGAAGAAAGATGGGGGAATCTACTTCCATAAAGATTTACCACCTCAGAAACCCAATGGGGGTCACTATGAATAGGAATCAACTTGATGGCAGTGAGTACACACAGCCATGAAGTCAGATCCAACTCATAGTGACCCCTCCTTGGGTTTCCGAGGCGATATCACTACAGAAGTAGCATACTCACTATGGCAGTGAGTAGAGGCATCTTATAAGAAAGGTTTGGCAATCTAATTCTGAAAAATCAGTGATAGAAAACCCTATGACATATGGTTCTACTCTGACACACATAAGGTCACTGTAAGTCAGCATCAACACAAAAGCAACTGATTGATTTATAGTTTGAGAACTACTGTCCTGGAGGGGAAAATAACCAAGGCAGTACCTTGCAGCTGGTATCCATAACACTTTTGTAAAACTGAAAACAAAACCAACAACAACAAAAAAACCAGATAGCTAGAGTCTGAAGAATAAAAATAGTTGTTAAAAAGCACAGAGCTAATACTTACTAGAAACTTAAAATGATCCAGGCTTTCAGGTAGATACACTCCTTAGAGAGAACAATCATGAGAGAAAGGTGGTCTGTTTATACACAGGGAGACAGCTCAGGGGGGCAGGATTGCACAGAGGGATGGACACAGGGAAGAAGTAATATGGGGAGGAAGTGGGAGGGGAGCTGTTGCTTTGTGGGAAATTGTAGTTGATGTCATGAGACAAAGTGTATGTGAACTGCTGTATGGAAAGTGAATTTGCTCTGTAAATTTTCACCCA